CCCATCTTTCGGTAAATCAAAAGGGAATTCACATCTTCAAAACCCCAAAAAATGTCCTGACCAATAACCTAACCTAATCTAACAATTTAAGTTGCTATGAATAGGTATGCCTTCGGGCACTGCCCAAGGGGTGGGTTGATTGGTCCCAACAGCCCCCGTGACACATTCTCCTCACCTGGGTATTACAGCAAGATAGAGCTACATCCTTGCTGAAGAACAAACCAAAAACCTTTACGTCTCTAAGCACCATACTTCCCTTCACTTTTCTTTACTGTGGATCACTTTGTTTCTAATCACTTTTTGGGGGCATTTGGGGCACTTGATGGGGTCAGATATCAAAACTGCGATAGTTATTAAGGTTTATTTCTTCCTCACTGCCACTATGTAGTCTTAAGAATAACGCAACACCAAAAACAAAACATTTCTCATTGGCCTTGTCAGTGAATGGCCGGGAATCGTCCTGTCAAAACTAGCGCCTGGAAACGTACATATGCGCATGTGCAGAAAGTTTTTCGCACCCATTTCAAACAAAACTGTATAAATAAATCTTAAAACACACAACATTACTAAAGGCTGTTGACAGCATAAATGTAGAACAGCAGACACTGATGATTAAAAAAATATAATTTTGACAAGACCGTAGTAACACGAATTACTTGGCATATCGCAATAATGAGTTCTGTGGTCAGTCCAGTGTTTACTCTCAACATGCAAACAAGATAAACGACTTTAACATATAGCACCTTTAAGGAAGCATTTGCACAAATATTGCCAAAGAGGAAACTTGTCTTGGTTTGTATCAATCTATCATTTCATATGGGCTTTATTACCCAACTCAACCACTACCTTGTACTGTATATTGTCTGCATAATTTGGTGTATGTGCAAATACTGTATTATATTAAAATAATAAGAAAAAATTCTTCTTAAGAAATCTTTTACAAATCAGTTCATATCATCTACCCAGTTCTGTAAAGAAGGTTGGATCTCCACAAGCTGGAATTACCCACCAAGTTCAAAAGGTGGAAAAATAAGTGGATGCATTTTACTCCCAACGAACCTTATCTAATGTACACATTCATTAACCATTCCCTATCAGAAACTCCATTTCTCATGTAGTACAGAGGTAAGTACTCTACCAAAACGTACGATGGAAACACGAGATACACATAGTAATAATGATCAACATGAGAAATTTTGCTTAAAAAAAAAAACATTTCATTCCACTAAAGTCAACCTTTTTTCATAATTGAGAGAACAAGATCAAATCCTATATAGATGTCATAACTAAGAATATAACATGAAATTTGTATTAAAGGAGGAAAAATATACACATGGCCATCAAATTACATGACCATAAATAATCGGCTGCTTTTGTAAGCTGTCATCAAAACAAACCAATTTACCTCTCATCTGGTGAACCGGTGCCTTTGTTACCCCAAAATACACCAACAAAAA